TGTCTGTTTGGATCACCTCATTGATTACCGAATCAACTTCACCTTTCAAAGCTTCTAGGTGGGCGTCGATGTCTTTCCTACACTGACGAATCTGATCTCCATAATCTCGACAGAGCTTTAATTTGTCCTTTGCCTTTTCTTTCAGAATGTTTAGTTTTGCTTTGTTTTCCATGATCGCGCCCTCTATATCCTGTTTCATACAAGGCTGCAACTGATGATCTATCATTGCGCATAAATAACACAGTGCTACACCGTGCGTTTTACAATACAATTCAATATCTTTATCATGCTTCACACAATACAGATTGGACCCACCCTTTCTTGCTTTTCCGATGCATCCCCCTTTGGAGGCGCAGTCATCGCAGAGCTTCTTCTTCTCTTTCACGTAGTACGTCACATCTGTAATTGCCTCACAGTTCTCTCCTTCACAGATGTCTTCTGCAGAGCCGAACTTAGCCGCCATACTGATCAGAATGTTGACCTGTTTAGAAGAAAGCCAAAGTAATAAATGATAATATCATTAATAATAATGATAATAGATGTGATAAAAATAATAATAAAACCTGTCCTTCGCTTCAAGGATGTGCGCAAGAGGGATATGAAGGCCAGTGAAATCAACCCTACAAACTAAGAAGCATGTTATGCTTCAGACCGCCCTAAATGGAGACGCGTTGTGAAGACGGGTATACAGAGGAGTGATCAGAGGAGTGTAGAACAGTGGGAAGAGAAAAGACAACAACGACAGCAGCTAGCAACGGCTTCAACAGCACAGCCACAAATTACTTTTGTCTGCAGCAACTGCATCAGGACCTGCCTCCCTAGGATTGGACTTTTTAGTCACAGCAGGAGCTGTACACCAAGAAACTAACTAATAAAACTAGCGCAATATTCTATTGACTTTCGAGACAGACAGATGCCGAGATAATGAGATGATAATGATATGAGTAATAATGTTCACAATACTATAAATACCAATACTGCTGCTACTATTATAATAATAATAATTATAATAATAATAATAATAGTAATACAAAATATTTGGTTATTCTGTAGAGCCCATGTCTGTCAGACTTGACAATCCTGGCACCCCACAACATGAGCTACAATATACAGATAGAGAGGGAGAGAGAGAGAGAAAGAGAGGGGGAGGTAGGCCTACTGATAAAGATGGGAAGAGCGGGGGGGGGGGGACTGCCACTGTAAATGGGGCTTCGTAAATCGGGACAGACAAAATAACAGTTTTGGGGAAAGGTAGAGATGGAGAGAGATAGGAGGGGATGGCGAGAAGAAGAGAGAGGGGGGATTTCGATATTTTGTTAATTTAATAAGTAGGTCTATGTCATTATCCATCAAGGGAGAGATAGCAAAAGAAGAAAGGCCTCCACCGTATTTAATAGCAAAATGGCGATTTTTATTTCTCTCTCTTTCATAATGATATATAACGTGCCCCAGCTCATTGTTTTGATTTTGATTTGATATATTTATTCAAACCATAATCCAAATTGGTGTTTCCATCTTTTTCTCTAGATCCATACTCAAGTTCACTCTGGTTTCATTCTCATTTCATCCTAGTCTTATACTCGTTTTGTGCTCGTTTCATAACCGTTTCATCAATATTTCTTTCACTTCCGTGTTTACGACATGATAATTATAATGTTCACATCCCCATCAAACCGACGCAGCTCACTTCTAAACACATCTAAGTTGATGTCTCACCTTTGTATTGAAGTCCGAATGAAAGTTCACCTCTTCGATTGGCTGTCCTCTGATGTTTAAACTTCGCCTGAAGAATTAACTATTCGATAATGTACTGGTGATTTGTACAAATTAAGATGGCGTCTAAACGTATACCATCCAAGACACTCGCGACCGCTACAATGCCAATACTTTTCACGCTTGGGTGCATGTCGCGCAGAAATAGGCAAGTTTTAGGGTAACAATGTATTTTCCATTGTCACATGATGCAGATTTATTGACAAAAGAAGCCCGCTGCACTTTGTGAATAGATCGACATGAAATGTGTGGATAATATTTCAACGTCACACATAAGGAATGTACGTATTGGCTTCATTCACAAGGCCAGTAGAAGCGACAACGGATGTGCGTGTGTGTGGGGGAGAGGAGGGCTGCCCCAATGATTTTAAGGAGGGGGGGGGGCGTATTTCACAGGATTGTTGACCCCTCCTACGCCTCCACCCAAACCAGAGAATAATGTATCAACATACACTGTCTCATAATAATTTTGCAAAACGTCTTTATTATGTGTGCATTTAATTGTCAATGTATTCTGCTGTTTGTGCTTTCGTTATTGGTGTTTTAAACGTAATTGAAAGTGATTATTTTCTCTCTCTTAAAACCACCTTATCTTTCATTATACCCTATTTATCATTATATTCTGGCTACAAACAGAGTTACTGTACGTACTCTTACTCTAGTATAATTGACCCTCTCTCCTTTTCTCTCTTTCTCTCTCTCTTTCTCTCTTCCCCTCTCTCTTTCTCCTTCTTGTTCTCTTTCTCTCTCTCTTTCTGTCTTTCCTTTTCCTTTATCTCTCTTCTTTCTCTCTCTCTCTTTCTCTTTCTTTGTCTTCGTCCCTCTCTCTCTTTCTCTTCCATATCTCTACTTTCTCTCTTTCTCTCTCTCTCTCTCTCTCTCTCTCTTTCTCTGTCCACTCTCTTTTTCTCTCTGCCTCTCTGCCTCTCTTTCTCTTTCCCCATGTCGCTTTTCTCTCTCTCTTTAGCTCCCTCTTTATCCACTTCACCTCCCCCTCTCTATATCTCTCTTTCTCTCTGCATGTGTCTCCCTCTCCATCTCCGGCTTTTCTCTCTCGCTCCCCCCCCCCCCTCTCTCTCTCTCTCTCTCTCTGGCCCTTAGTTTCTATTACCTCTCCCCGATCCCCACCCCTCCAATTTCCCTATCTCTCCCTTCTCTCCTCTCTCACCATCCCCTCCCTCTGTATCTCCCCCTCCCCTTCCCGTCGACTCCTCTCTATATTATCGTATTACTTGACAGCGGCTGCACATAACGCTTTCACACACAGAATGATAATGTTCCACGTAACCTATCAGTGATTTTGTAAAATGAGTTTTTCTTCCGCGCTTGGTCTAAATAAATAAAACAATAGCTACAAAAACAACAACATTACACAGAAATAGCAACAACAAAAAATATACAGCCTTATCATCAATATAAAAAAAATGTAAAATAAATAAACAAACAACAGAAAACAACAGAAAAAGTGCAACCATAACCTAAACTAACCATACAAATAATTATATTTAATACAGGGCGAATACTTCATACTTTTTTTTGCTGTGCCCGACACCATAGCTGATACACTTCTAGTTTTATAAATATATTTCTAAGGCACCTAAAGACTATTATGCAAACAATAATAATATTTGCTTGTCAGAAATATTTGTTTTATTGCACCCCCTCCTGGAAAATCCTGACTCGATCCGCCCTTGAAGAGTATGATGCAAAACAGTTCCATCAACTGCATCATATGGGGATGGAACAAGAGGGCCATGGACCATTCATCCGCCGAAAATAAAAGAAAGTCATCCGTGGAACCATAGGTGACCCATGCAGAGAGCATGACCCTCTGTGATGTTTTCTTGTTGTCACCTCGTTTCACCGACCCCCCCCCCCCCTCCGTTCAAAAAGAAATGCCAGCCAGTACCATCGCTGCAACTTGCATAGTTCTCCCCATATCGTTTTGAAGAACTTTCCAATCAGATTCTGTTTTCGGTTATAATAATGTGAACATAAATCCGTCACTTTTGTCTTTGGATTTAACGAAACATGTTCGTCAAATAGCAATAACCGTCATGAATATTTGTCCTCTATAATTCTTTCTAACATAATTCTTACAAGATTCATGAAATATTGCTTATTTATTTATTTATTTATTTATTTATTCAAGTTTTATTTAAAATAGAGGGTAGGTACATTCAGTTTAACAAAACTGCTTTCCAAGTACGCCCTCTGACATAACAAATGTGCGATATACAAAAATACAAGGATTATATACAAAATATAACATTCATCAAAACTAAACATTGACATAATTATTTGACATAATATAGAGTACAAACATATATAACATAAGAAAAATAATTATACCGGTAGAGGGAAATAAGAACGGAGATTCGACTATAATAAATGCTTTGCCAATTTGCATCCGCGCTTAAATATTTGAACTGATTTGGTTGATTGGATTGAGGAAGGAAGTTTATTAAATAGGGTGCTTGCTTTATATGAGAATGATCTTTTTTTGAAATCGGTTTTGGGGTATGGGATGTCAAGTAGAGCATATAAACACTTCCGTTAGATTGCTGTTTTAAAGGTATTACAAAGTTTTGGTATGGGGTCATGAATTTGGTTCAAATTAACATATTGGAAGCGTATGCGTTTCTACAATATTCATTGATCGTTGTCGTGGTTGAAATCGAGTCTAAAGTTATGAAATTGTAAATAATAAACTTCTTATATAGCTCCCTCTCAAGGTCAAGATATTAATTTAGCTATGAAACAATCTTTCTTGACTAAAATCAACCGATTAGCTATTCCCATTTGGAAATTATATATCACAACTACGTATTCTGAGATTTTCATGGTCGCAGCTACCATGTACGTCCATAGGTGCTATTTGAAATTTATCAAAATTTACCGGGAGCACCGGTAAATTTTTATATTCAAATTTTCTCGAAAACAAAAGTGTTTTAGGGGCTATTTTTTTTTTTAGTACTTATAATACATCCACAGGGGCATCCAAATATATCAAAATTGTAAAGATTCACTATCCACCCAATTTTCAAAATTTTCCAAAACTTTGTATTACCTTTAATCAATTGTCCGGGTTGTGTACCAACCTGTCCGGACAGCGTTATTTTTTTATGCGGCACAGGCTGGGTATTTTGCAAGGGATGCCTTTTCCACGTTTTTAGCATAGCGCCAGCTTGAGTCTCCTGAGATCGGATTTAAATTGCGCAATTCTAAAAAATAGTTGGCTAGCGAATTATCCATGCCTCTGTATGGTGTTCGCTTTTTGATGTCAAAATGGCTACTTTTCTGTTTGTGATTCTGTGCATTATTGTCACTATACTGGCACTTCCGCTCCTTGCTTTTGGAATCGTCGTGTGGAAGAACAACTTGATTTATCAATTCTTTCATCCGGTAAGTATATTTGCGTGCAATGCTTTGACTTTGTTTTCGATTTCGTCTGGACCATTTGGGCATCCGCCGCGCCCACCGGATACTATACTGCCGGTAAAAGTGTCGGTGTGGTACGGGTCCACGGCCGGGCCGATTCCCCTCTACCACCGGCTCCATATGCACTCTCTGAATCTCCGGCACCGAGCTCCTCACAGCTGCGAGTACGCGGGATGACCACCACTGCTGCAGGGGCGGTATTCTGAACCCTGTGTTATCTCTAATATTGTTGTATCTTTGGAGATAAGATAAAGTTGGTATTCTGAACATTGTTGTAACTTTTGTGTTATCTCTTGTTGTATCTTTTCTCTCATCTCATTGGCCGCGCCTGCACTCATAGTTTGGTGCGCTTGTAATTGTGCGTAGAATTAATAAAGTGGCGTTTAATCCTCATTTGCATAGACCCTATGCGCACATTTCAAACACCACTGTACAAAACTCAACTGATTTCACTAAAAATCGGTACGTTAGTCACAATTGATGACACCTAGATCTAGGCCTACATAGGTCTAGCAGTAAAATACATTTTTTTCAACTTAGGTCTAGACTCTACAGATGTTAAAAAGAATAATTTAAAAATTCAAATTGTAAGACCTACTGTCAAACTTTGCTTATACAGCCGCATCGGCGTGATTATATGCATTCTATGCAATAGTGTGTGGTGTGTATATTGTGTATGGGTCTAATAATACCTGCCTCACAGCAAGTATGCAGTGCTAGAGGTCAATACACATTAGCATTGACTCTCTATGCTTTGCTGGAGTGCATCATGCATGCCCATTGTGCCCAGAAAGGTTGGTTACCTGGCCCCAGACAGTAAGGTAGAAAGTGTAACTTAATTACAAGCAATATTATTGGAAATCTTTTGACAATTATGGTGGACAATATTATAAATGATGAATAATTGTGAAGGTCAGTTTTGATTGATTCATTAATCTATTTAAAACACAGTATAAACCCCATTCAGCAAATATGAAATACAAATACCGTTATCAAATAATCCAAAGGCAAAATTGATGGTTTTATTTTTGTTAAGCATTCAGATACACAAGCCCATTATCTGTAGGCCTATAGTTGACTTTCAGACAATCAAATCTGATCATAATTCTAGGGACACTATTTGAATCTTGACCTTACTCCACAGCAAATCAAAGTCCATACTCTAAACAAGGAAAGGTGAAGGTCCACCAGATTGATATCATAAAAAAACAGAAGTCAGCTAGTCGCTCGTTCTAGAGTAAGAATCTAAAGCCAATAGATCTGCACTACATGTAGTTTGGCCAGGAGTGATTAGACCTCCCTGCGTGGTCACTGACAAGTGGTTATCTCAACAAATCAGCTCTCAATTAACATATTAAGAAAAAGGGGACCATGGGGGACCAACAAGTATCACTTGGGCATTGTTTGCTATATAGAGGGCCCAAGTGGAGCTACAAGTAGTGCAGTCCAGCTTTAATGTAAAAGAAGCCGTTCATGGCCATTAGTTAATATGAAAAGTTGAGTACCAATTTGTTGTAGAGTAAGGGCTTGTCAAACAAAGATAGATAAGTTGGAAATTAAATTGTAGGTAAAGTTTCAGGGTTGCATCATGTATTTCTTTGTAAGGAATAAGAGCCCTGACAAATGCTATAGTAAACTCTGTTATTAAAGTAAGAGCTAAATTGGATCTCAATGTTTCAATCAGTATGCTCTTATAGTCTTCAGGAGAATGAATAGAACATAATAATAATAAAGATTGATTTACAATTTAAAGGTATTACAAAGTTTTGGTATGGGGTCATGAATTTGGTTCAAATTAACATATTGGAAGCATGCGTTCCTACAATATACATTGATTGTTGTCGCGGTTGAAATCGAGTCTAAAGTTATGAAATTATAAATAATAAACTCTTTATGTTGTATAGCTCCCTCTCAAGGTCAAGATATAAATTTAGCTATGAAACGATGTTTCTTGACTAAAATCGATTGATAAGCTATTCCCAGTTGGAAATTATATATCCTAACTACATATTCTGAGATTTTCATGGTCGCAGCTACCATTATACAGCCATAGGTGCTATTTGAAATTTATCATTATTTACCGGGAGCACCGGTAAATTTTGATATTCAATTTTTGTCGAAAACAGAAGTGTTTTAGGGGCTATTTTTTTTTGTGCTTATAATACATCCACAGGGGCATCCAAATATATCAAAATTGTAAAGATTCACTATCCACCCAATTTTCAAAATTTCCCAAAACTTTGTATTACCTTTAAGTGCATAATAAACAAAAGTTTCTCTATGCGCTTTAAAAAGTAAAAACTAAGCATGTACAAGTATATTCTAGTTACAAGAACGAAATACGAAAACCTTTAAAACAAAAGACATGTAGCTAAAATATTAATTCATTAAGAGCAAAGTTTATACAGATAACAAAAATGCATAAAAAATCAATTAGAGTAACATACTTAATTATAATACATTAAGTAATTGCAATGTCAAACATTACATTGAGAAGGGTTTTGAAAGTCCAGTGGGGGCTATAGATTACCTATGAATGATCCGAAGCGTGGACCACTCATTTCTGATTATATCAACCCACTTTAAATCCTTTGTCTTATCAGCATTTTGAGCTTTGTAATCTAAAAATAAGTTGATTCACTACAGAAATCTGTGGTTTGTGTAAATACAGTACATCACAAGTAGACTTTGACCCCAACTGAATTCATGGGGTTAGATTCTTTTGTACCATGGGCCTGTCCTCATCAGCTCGAGTTTGCCAAATAACCCGCTCTTGTCACTTGTCAGACTCGGGATATTATCCCAAAGCTCAGAATTGCATCTTCACCACGCTCATCCCAAACTAGCTCAGACGGGCGCAAATTAGCCTGCTATTTCCCAAATTGCAGGATATTTTGGAAACAAGACCAACAATTCTCGGAATATTTCTCTACCAAATATCCAGCTATTTGCAACTGGGGGCTGATGAGGATGCAATAATCTGGTTAATTTGCAATCAAGATGGTTGGAATAGCGGGTTATTTGGCAAACTCGATCTGATGAAGGAAAGCCTATATAGTGAAGTGTTTTGCTAACTTCATCTGGCTGCTGTCTGTATGAAACTAACAATGCAGATGATTTAGTTTCAGATGTTATGTCTAAACTCTAAAGTGTAAATTTGATTGATTCCTGAGTTTTATAAAAGCCTACATGTAACTCTTTAAAGTTTTGAGGCATGCATTGCTATTCAACTGAATCTCCATTGCAATAACCTATAAATACATTACACATAATATTAGATACTAGTACTAAGTACTAAATGTTGTTAAATTATTATAATTATTTTTATTAAAGCATTTGCTTTGTTTGAATTTGTCATTATTATGAATTTGTTTGTGTATTTCTTGTCCGTATGCTCAATCTAATGTTTATTCACTCAAATTCTTCCCAAAGCTGGACTTACCAACAAACATTTTGCACATCACTGTATTTACATCTATCAATGCAAAACCTATTAAAAGATTTAATGATAATAATAACAATAATTATAATATTGGATTTTTTATAGCGCTCGTATCCACCATTCAATGTTAACCCATCTCTTCTAGGCTACCGATGTCAGTGCTCCCAGCATTCAAGGCTACAGTTTTTTGGTCTTCCAAAGTTCCAACACAATATATTAAAAATGTATTATTCATGACTAGAATTCCAGTATTCAAATTGAACTTTAACCTTTGACCTTGCAGGCAGACACAAACTGCAAGCGTACAGGAGGTGAGCTGGTAGCGGAGACGCTCAAGGCACACGGGGTCAAGTTTCTCTTCACGCTGTGTGGAGGTCACATCTCGCCGGTCAACGTTTCCGCTGAGAAACTGGGCATCAGGATAGTGGACACTAGACATGAGGTCAGAAACATTTTAGTTTATTAATTAAAAGAGAATTTTAAATTCATGGAAACGAAGGTGAAAAAATATTTATGATGAGTTCTCAAAGGAAATATAATAATAATTGTAATTTTATTCAGGGTTTACATAGTGCTTAGATCTAGTACATTCACAACGAATCTCTGAGCGCTTTACGGAAATACATGTACAGGTACATATATTGTTAGCAATATAGCAGACATAGGATTCAGGCTTGTCTGTCAGCAATGTACTGTATGCCCATTCTCCACTCCACTGGGGAGCATTCAAGCCAGGCGCTATTTTACAGATACTCGCAATGCTGAGCAAACTAAAATGACTTTCCCATCCTACGGAGGGTGGAGTCGTGGACTTTATTTTTCTGATCGACTGTCCTTACTACAGGAACTACACTGGCTCCCAGTTGCTGATAGAATACAATACCGGATACTTGTTCAAACTTTTAAATCTATGTCAACCACCCTTCCTGTATACATTTCCTCACTCATTCAGCAACAGAGAACATCCTATTCCCTTAGGTCTTCATCAGCTCCAACCTTTGTCATTCCCAAATCCCGTGAACAGGCTGGTTTCAAATCCTTTCAGTCCTTAGCCCCACGTCTCTGGAACAAATTTCAAAAAACATCTGAAAACTTACCTGTACAACTCCTCTTAAAGGGATCCGGTAACTTTGTCTCAGATTCTGAAACAAAATTCTGGATTTAGCTCGTTATGCAATGATAATTATAAACCTTTAGGTCAGTCAGGAACCCCATGACTTTTACAAGCCGATCGCCTGTCTGATTATCAAGATATTTATGATTGGAATTACAAATTTTGAAAACCGTTCGCCTGGCGGTTTTCATAACACTACAGTCTATTGGGGAAAACGAGTATGGTAAAACCGGTCACTCAAAGATTTTTACTTTTTTTAGGCACTTCTTGATCATCTTGAAGCGCGATTTTTTTTAGGGCTTCAATATTACACCATATCACAGACACTGATAACCTGTAGGGCCGTGTATCTCAGATTTAACATTGCTAAACGATCCCTTTAAATTGTCGAAAGTCTAGGAGAGCAGCGCCTTGTAACCTTTGGAAAAGGCGCTATATAAATCCAATTATTATTATTATTACAAAAAAATGCATGTACTGTATCTTTCACAACTGCAGGAGAACTGCCTGTAATGAAAAGTTGTCATGATAAGTTACCAATTAACTCTTACTTTGTCAATGTCACACTGATAGACAGACTAGATATTTTCAATCTCACTTTGCTCCACCCTAAATGGCCATCCATGTCATTGTTTAGAGTTTGAATCAAGCATATATCTTAATGTAGACAATTTGGAAGAAAATTGCAAGTTATTGAAAAAGTTAAAAAATAATATTACACAGTTATTGACTGGCAAGGGTGTAATAGAACATTCTTTGGACCTGAAGGGAGTTATATTTCCCAAGTGGTATTATTTTCCCGAAGCTCCCAGCGCTGAGGGAAAATATGGTCACGAGGGAAAATATAACTCCCTTCAGGTCCAAAGAATGTTATATACCCCCTGCCAGTCAATAACTGTTATATTAGATAGCCTTGGTTTTTTTTTTTGTAGGGGGGGGGGGGGGGGGGGGGAGGGGGGGTCCATATTTTTTTTTGCCTGAAATTAAAAAAAAAAAAAATCTGGAACAATCAAAATTGCGGAAAAATAATCTGTTGAGATAGTTCAATAAAAAAAAAAATAATAAAAAAAATTTGGGGGAAAAAAAAAAAATTCTTACCCCAAAAGGCATTTTTTGGGGAAAAAAACAAATTACCCAAAAAAGCATTTTTGGGTAAAACAAGAAAATGTGGAAAAAATAATTTCAAGGGAAAAAAAAAATCATGAACAAAAAATTTCACCAGCCGGTAAAATATAACCAACCAGGAAAATATGACCAACCAGGAAAATATAACAATTTGGATCCTCACAATTGATATCACGTGACAAGCTCTAGACCAATCACATCTCGGTATCTGTCTAAGCTATCTAATATTATAGTATTAATGACTGCTTTGAGAGAAATAGTTGTTTTATTACGCTCAAGGGAAGGTTAGAATTGTGCTATTCCCCGAGGCTTGCCGAGGGGAATAGCCCAATTGTAACCTTCCCGAGAGCGTAATAAAACAACTATTTCTCGAATATTAAAGCAGTCATTAATACTTTTATATGCCGAAAAAAAATAGACTAAAAAATGAAAAATGAAAAATATTTATCATTTTGTCGAAGACGGGTTTCGAACCCTTGCGTACAACAAGTGGAGTACCGAAAACCAACGCTTAGACCACTCGGCTATGGCCCGCCGTTAACATGCTTGGCAGTTTTCTCCAATATATACATTTAAATGGATTGAAACCGGCTTCGCGTGTGATGAATGCTTCGCAAAAGCTCCATAGTACGGACTCTTCTTTTACTTTTGCAATGCATATTGGCACGAACTTAGATCAAGATCTATCGGCAGATGTTGTTTTTTTGTTTTTGGAAGTTTATTTTCGTCTTCATGTCAACAATGCAAGATAAAATTGTCGGTAAGATCGATCGAGATTCAATTGTATTGAAATTACCGACCAATCCTTCGCACACATACGGCATCCTCCATCGCTCAAACCATTTTTTAACATGTAAACCTATGGGGTAACCATGGAGGCTGACCAACTTTTTTTAATAACCATGGTTATTAAAAATATTGAAATGTTTTATGCATGGTTACCGAGAATTTTACAGGAACAGTTGAAGTTTATGAATGCAATTCGACCAATCAGATGGCTGGATTTCTTAAGTGAGGTATATAATGTCTCATATGTTATTTCTGTTACATGTATATACTGTTTGAGGAATGATATTTCAAGCTTTAAAACTAATAGTAGTCTGCATTTTTTAACCTTTGGAAACAAAGGGGAACTTGTATAAATCTAATTTCTACAATATTTTTTTTTTTTTAATTTTTTTTAGGCCACAGCAGTGTTTGCAGCCGATGCCGTTGCAAGGCTATCTGGTGTGATTGGAGCTGCCATTGTCACAGCCGGACCTGGGCTTACAAACACCATCACAGCTGTGAAAAATGCTCAGATGGCAGAATCCCCCGTTCTGCTAATGGGAGGAGCCGCTGGTACATTATTAAAGGTGGGTAGTGGGTCGTACCATTTTCCATGGTAGGGGTATGCAGGGTGTTATGAAAATGTTACAGCCAGAACTAGGTTTACTCTTTAAAGAGTAATGTGTCATAACCTCCTAGTTTGTTATTAACTGGGAAGGTTACTAGTACATCAATATCAAAGGGGGCTAGCACTTCAGGGTCATACCATTACCTCAGGAGAAAGGGACTGGGTTAGGCAGGGTTTCAAGGATCCTAAAAGGGACTGAGTATAAAATAAAAGATTTGAAGTTGTCCTTGGTAATAATCATTTTTGAATTCCCTAATTTGGAGCTTGTTTTTAGCACAAAGCGTACAATTTTCACTGGCAAATGGGAAGACCATAGATTACAGTTTGGAGTTGTCTCATACTTTGAATTCAGTTGTTGGTTAATAATAGATAAGAGACAATTGGTACTACAAAGGGCACAGGTCAGGCGATGTGAGCCTCTTGTTTGTTGATCTCTATTCACTTACTGCTTCATATTTGCACTGCTGACAACAATATGCAATATCCCTCCCCCTTTTTAATATTTTTTGTACAAAAGAAAAAAAAAATGGCTTAGTTTTACAACAAAGAGGCAATGTTGACTGAACTTATTGGCAGTGAGTGTATGTGTATGAATAGTATTCTTGTGCATATTGGCAATGTGCTGTACTTTTGTTGTAAAGTAAGGAAAAGGTCAAATGAAAAAACAGTGGTGGTATTCAATTCATTACTTACACTGTGTGTCAGAAGGATGAGCATTTCACTCAGTTTTTGGCTTAGATAAATAATTACGAAGCCAACATTCATATTCACTTGAAGCTTTTGGTTCAGTATTTTAATCTACCTGTAAGTTTAAGACAGCTCCCTGAGCATACTTACATGTAGGCCATTTATTCTGGTAAGTGTAAGTAATACACAATGTGGAGGAGAGAACTAGGGATATCCGATAGGCAAAGCAACAATGTTAACCTTTATTTTGATGAAGAATCACTGAACTCATTAGTTGATCTGAATCTGTTTCTATAACATCAATTTGTGGTTGCTGATGGTTTCATCCCGTGATTTCCTATCAATAGGCCTTCAATCATAGGTCAACAAACTTTAGGTCTTATGATCACTGTTACTCACAATTGACCTTCTACACTGAATAGTGTGCCATAAAGTTAATTTGAAAAATTCCAATTAGAGGTCAAATTACCTCTGTGATTTGTTTTAAAATGGAACAAAATTGACCTAATCTTTAATACTAAAAAGTCACAAGCACTGCACATGTAAATGATTACCAGTATAGGGGACTACACACATACATGTATAGTACCGGTAGTCATAATTTGTGTACTTTACAATGTACATGTATAGTATGGCATGAAGTTCTCAAGTTACAATGCCATATTTGTGAAATAAAATGTTCAATTGCTCGTTTATTAAAATTTTCATCAAAATCAATAAAAATTGAATTGCTCAAAAAAGCATAGCACATGGAAATGAGTACATAGAAATCCACACTGACGGTACGCACACATAACAGTTTGATCCAAATTATTCAGCTACAGTTTATTTCTTCTTCCTGTCATATGTCGAATATGAGGGTAGTTGAGGAGGAATCATTTTCATTTTCTTTTTCATTACTACTATGATATTTTTTCAAACTAGCAAAAAAATGAATTAGGGGAAATAATGTTGATAGATAGTTACGTTTTTATTGCGCATGGATCTATTCCAGTGGATGCTCAATCTTGCTCATTATGAACCTGGCTTTATCCCAGCTGGCCTAAGGCACTAAAAAGCCTTCAAGGAATGAATTCCTACCAGGTACTATTTTACCACACCTGGGTGGAGAGTGGCAAATGTAGGTCAACATCTTGCCAAAGGGCATAATTTGTCCCGCGGCGAGGCCCAAACCCCAAACCATGTGATCAACATTCTTGTGAGGTATCAACTAGACTAGGGGGGTGTTTCACAAAGACTAAGTTTGACTTAACTATGGCAGGCTGTTCATGCCACTGCTTGCACTCACAATTTACTGGCAATGGTCTCTCCAAGGGTCGTACAAATCATGGTCACACATCTACAGAATTTAGCTTTTTTGATAGTTCATTATTGAAGGAAAAAATATTGTCTAAAGATCGTAATTGAGAGACCAATGGTGAAAGCAACCAGTGGCATGAACGGCCTGTCATACCTAAGTCCAACTTAAAGTCAATCTTAGTCTTTGTGAAACACTCCCCTGGAAACCTATGTAAAAACTCTCAAATTTCCTTCCATCTTTACCATGAATTATCCTTTTTAACAACCTTTAATATTTAACAGATTTATATTATTTGATATTTAATATTTATTCTATTTTTTTGTGGCAGGGCCGCGGAGCTCTCCAAGATATAGACCAGATGGCTCTGTTCAAACCTCTCTGCAAGATATGTATCTCAATAACACAAATCAGAGATATTATACCAGCAATGAGAAGAGCTATACAGGTTGCACAGTCAGGCACGCCAGGTATGGTATTCCGTGTGAATGCAAATAATAATGGTGTTAACACCAATTATCTGTTTCAGACCTCTGTAAAATATGTATCTCAATAATATAGATAAGAGATATCATACCAGCTATGAGAGTCAGGGGCGGTGAGTAATTGCCAATTGCTCTCACAATGACCTTTTGGTAGGAATATTCCCCAGGGAGTGGAGATGGTGCACATTGTGCATGAATAAATCCAATGATCAGGATAATAATAAATCTGTAAAGTGCTCAGAGAGGGTATTTTGTTTTAAAAGTGCTATTTGAATCTATATTATTACAGTCAAAATGCCAAACATGTACTATAGGCACCTGTACACAAAGACCACTTTTCTTGTCTCCCTTGAGTGGTCTTTACAGACAGGTTTCACTGTTTAATTATTTTCTAATCTAATGTCACAATACCAAGCTTTTCACGACTCTTCTCCCTCCTTCGTTTGATTTTCAGGACCAGTATTTTGTTGAAAATGGTTTCTCATTGAAACATGTACTTTAGGCACCTGTGCATAAAGACCACCTGCCTATAAAGACCACTTTTCTTGTCTCCCTTGGGTAGCCTTTATAGGCAGGTTTCACTGTTTTATTAATTTCTAATCAAATCTCATGATACCAAGCTCTTCTTGACTCCTCCCTCCGTTTGATTTTCAGGTCCATTATTTGTTGAAAATGGTTTCTCATTAAACATGTACTATTATACATAAAGACCAACTGCCTATAAAGACCACTTTTCTTGTCTCCCTTGGGTAGCCTTTATAGGCAGGTTTCACTGCTTTATTAATTTCTAATCCGATCTCACAATACCCAGCTGATCACAACTCTCCTCCCTCCTTCGTTTGATTTTCAGGACCAGCATTTGTTGAAAATGGTTTCTCATTGAAACATGTACTATGGGCACCTGTACATGTTCAAATAATTTTTGTAATGACCACTTTCCTTGTCTTCCTTGGATGGTCTTTATAATTTATAGACAGGTTTTGCTGTTTTATTAATTTATAATCAAATCTCACAATACCCAGCTATTCACAACTCTTCTCCCTCCCCTGTTTGATTTTCAGGACCAGTATTTGTTGAAAATGGTTTCTCATTGAAACATGTACTATAGGCACCTGTACATTCAATTATTTTTTTTAATGACCACTTTCCTTGTCTCTGTTGGGTGGTCTTTATAGTTTATAGACAGGTTTCACTGTTCTATTAATTTTGAATCAAAACTCTTCTCCCTCCCTTGTTTGATTCTTAGGACCGGTTTTTGTGGAGCTGCCCATTGATGTTCTGTACAGTCATGAGCTGGTGCTCCGTGAAGTAGCAGCGAAGGGCAAGCCGGCTGGATTGGTCAATGGTATCATACACTGGTGAGTTGCGTGTACTTCTCCTTAAAGGGATTCAGTAACTTTGTCTCAGATTCTGAAACAAAATCCTGGATTTAGCTCATGCTGCAATGATAATCATAAACCTTTAGGTCAGTCAGGAATCCCATGACATTTACAAGCCGATTGCCTGTCTGATTATCAAGATGTGTATGATTGTAAATCGAAACCAAATTTTGCGTTTGCCTAACAGTTTTCATAACACTACAGACTATTGGGGAAACCAAGTTTGGTAAAACCGGTCACCCAAAGATTTTTACTTTTTTGAGGCACTTTTTGATCATTTTGAAGCGCGATTCTTTTATGGCTTCAATATAACACCATATCACAGACACTGATAACCTGTATGGCCATGCATCTCAGATTTGTTAAATGATACCTTTAACCCTTTCACAACATGATTTACTTTTACGGTAGGGCTAAATTTATCACATAATGTGACCCTGCACTACAAAACCACCAAAAAGTTTCCAGAAAAATATTTTTTAGCTAGGGTCGAGTCTGGAAGAGGAGATTCTCAGCTTTAAAATGATATATAACTTCTCACAATTGGATGTCCCGAACTCAATTGGATAATAAAAGAATGTCCAGTCCCACAGAATGTTACTTTTAAGAGAAAAGGGTGTTTAAAGTCTGCAGTCTATTTTAAGCACTCTCACTCTCACTCACTATATTATGGTAAAGACATCATCTCACTTTTCCCTCACCCCAAAACCTCCAAAAGACGAGGGTAATTTCTTGATGGGAGCGTAGGTTTGCTGTGCGAGACTTGTACACCCATTCATGGTATTTCCACCAAGTCTGGTGTCAGTGATTTATGACCTACTGCACATGGAAACTGATGACCCTCTCCCTTTAACAGAACCAAACCTTTTCTTTTTATCACTGTATTTCAGGTATATCATGACATTCATCAATAACATCTTTGCCGGAGCCTTTGAGAAGCGAGACACCTCCCCCTTGCCTGTCAATCAACCTCTTGCCACGCCCCTTCAAGGTGAGTAGGGCGGGGCCTATGCAGGATGGTTCGGGGAATAGATTTCACATGTGTAATACTATTTAGCCTTTGAAACACATTTTCTGTGAGTCTTTGTGTGGCTGTAACTGATTAATGTACATGTATTTACTGCTTTCGGGGGCATGGTTTAAATTTATGCCCAAGGTGATCTCAAAACTGCACTTGATGTGGAGTCTCAAGATCAACAAGGAGCTATAGTCTCAACCACGACCCCCCCCCCCCCCAAAAAAAAAAAAAAACACAAAACAAAACAAAAAAAACACAACAACAACAACAAACAAACAAACATACAAACAAAACAAAAACAAACAATTAAATAAATGAATAAATAAGCAGTCAATATATTTTTGATATACTGTAACCCGTGTGTCATACTTCAAAAAGATATTTCAACAAAATATACCTGTCGATAATCATTTGTAAGAAATTTACTATTCTAAGAGTATTGTATGTGTGCAAAGACTATATCCATTGTTTGTCCTTAAATAGCATTTATTACAGAACTGCTACTGGCCAAAGAAGTGTTAAGTATCAGGGTTACCTTACATGGTCTACTTTAGATGACAGTCTCAAACAATCTACATCATTATGACAATTTAAATTTAAATATTAACAATATCTTTGCAATTCTAAATAGTCATATCAATTTGAAAATAATTATTATATGTTTCAAATCGCAATTATGTTATCATCGGGTCAATTTAATATAATTATAAAACCAGACATTTGAAGGGAGAGTCCACACTGAGGATGGGTTTACCCCGTCTTTACTTGGCCTCACATATTCTCAGGGTGAACTTTCCCTTCATGGCTACCGGGGCTAGACTCGATAAGCTTCGCTTTTTCTAGCCCCATCTACATTACTCACCTTTTTATGTTTTAATGTTGATGTTTGTTAACTGATGTAGATTTTCATTGTTCTTTTATGCTGATGTATCTGTTTTTCATTTGCTCTATGTGTAAAATGTGTACAATGTATTCTGTTACCTTGTATATTTTACTGGTTTTTAATGTGGAAAATAAATGAAATGAAATGAAATTGTATGCGCAAGATGAGCTTTGCCCGGTCAATATCTTTTGCTGAACTGCCCAGCAGTTAGTAGCAAATTTTGTGCCTACAGTTTTGACCAATCAGAAGTCTAGAATCTTTATTTGCCTTATATGATATGAAGTATATTGATGAACATCAACTTTATGGTATATAGGTTGCATTTAGTGCAAAAGTGTTATCAAAGTGTGCACTATAAGAATGACTATCTAATTTATTTAAGTGGTGTATCAGTGATCTATCTGTTTAATATTCATCATACTTGTTTAACAAACATTTAAAAGCATCTTAATTGGATATGTTGTCTTAGGTTACAATGTCACCGTATTATTTGTTTAAATGCAAAGGAGGAGGAAAAGAGGAACAAGAAGAAGAAGAAGGATGGGGAGGAGGAGGAGGAGGAGGAGGAAAATAATGTGTTGAATTTAAATGAGAAACAGTAATTTTTATATGAAGTGCAGAATCATCATTGTCTTGCCCAAAACAATTCATCAATTTTTATTTTTTTAAAGATTGAATTGCTTTCTGTTTTCTCGTCTGCAGTTCAAAAGGGTATAGAGATCTTAAGCAGAGCTAAGAAGCCTGTTATTATACTTGGAAGTCAAGCAACTCTGCCTCCGCTACCTGCAGAGAAACTGAAGACGGCGTTAGAGGTAAGCATACAGTGAACTTGCATAATTAGTGTCAAGAATAAAATAAAGTAAAGCTTTATTAGTGATTAAATCACAGTTAACTTGCATCAGATCTATTTAAAAAGTCTGTTTAAATTTACTTGGAAGTTAAGGAGCTCTAGCTTCGCTACTTGCAAATTTGATGTATAAAGCGCCTGCTACATCTACAATTTCTCTAAGATATATTATTGCCCCTTTCATCGGATTCCAGCTTCCCAGCACATGGTCTAGACACATTCTCCACTCCCTGGGAGCCATTTTACAGATTCACAATGCTAAACAAAATACAATTACTTTTTTTTCCTATCCACTACATGGTCAACAAATTAAAAAGTTAAGCTGCATCAGATTTAAGAAGGTTCTAAATAAAATGGGAAGTGTGTTGGTGCTATACTTCTATAAACTTGCAAAGAATACGAGATTACATTAGTGGTGCAAGTACAGCTTTCATTGATAGGTACCTTAAGTCAGCATATGATATGAGTGAAATGGTCATTGCTGATTTTCATGTGACTTTCACCAAGGCTGAGTCGATGTGGTAATCATGGTAATGATTCCAGAACGTCACAGCAAACAGTTAACAACAAAATTATACACACCCTTACAAAGTTTTGTAATTTTTAAGTATGTGAAAAAATTATTTGTCCAGATTTGTTTTTCTTTTTAATGTGACATCTAAAAGTATTCAAGAAAGGCCCTTATTCAACCAGTCCACATACAGTATACCTTTTATTCTTGAGTCACGGAAAACAAGAAAAGCACCAAATTTACAAGGGGTATAAATAATTCAGTTTATCACTTCTTATTTCCTATATGCACAAACAACCTTTCCTAGTTGCTTCAAAGCAGATTCTTTCACTCAGATACTGTTTGACCTCACTGGACTCAACTTTTACGTTCTAAGCCGATACCTTTGATTGTTAAAGTGGTATTTGTCTCTTTGTATGTAGGCCATCGGTATCCCATGTTTCTTAGCTGGTATGGCAAGGGGCATGCTGGGAAGGAACAGTCCGCTTCACATCCGGCAGCGCAGGAGAGACGCACTCAAGGAGGCGGACGTAGTCATTCTAGCAGGTCAGTACAAAGCATCATGGAGTTAGTAGTAGTAGTGGTGGTGGTAGTGGTGGTGGTAGTGGTGGTAGTGGGAGGAGTGGTGGTGGTGGTAGCAGTAGTAGTAGTAGTAGTAGTAGTAGTAGTAGTAGTAGTAGTAGTAGTAGTAGTAGTAGTAGTAGTAGTAGTAATAGTAGTAGTAGTAGTAGTAGTAGTAGTAGTAGTAGTAGTAGTAGTAGTAGTAGTAGTAGTAAGTAGTGGTACTAGTAGTAAGTAGTGGTAGCGGTAGGGTAGTCATATTAGCAGGTCAGTACAAAGCATCATGGGAGTTAACAAGTACAGTCAAACCTGATGTAGTACATGTATTACACTGAAGTATATAGAAGTACCGGTAGTAGTCTTCATTTACATTCCTGCCAACCCTTCCAAATAATCCAAAATATTCAGATTTTCTGGCTTTTAAGAACCTACAAATTCTGATTTTTAAAAATGTTGTTGTTGTAGTTTTTTGTTTTGTTTGTTAAAGTCAAATTAAGCTTGTTTTATCATGTGCCGCGATTTGAGAGTTCACTTATTGCATGCATTGGATGGCTGCATGATCGAGCAGCGAATTTGTATTCGCTTTTTAAGGTATAAGGTTTGTTTCGCCAGTTACACTAGCGCTAAATGTGCGAACGCCTGTTAAGGGTACAGGTTTCTTATTTTTCGAAGGCATCACGTGCTAGAAATTCCTACTTTTTATTTCAAATGTTGGCAGGTATGCATTTAGACCAACCTTACTGCTTTCTTTCTTCACTATTTTTTTCCATGAATTTTTTTTTTCCCTCTTATGCCGCCCACTTCCAGATCCCACGCTCTTTTCACAGGTTCATCAACTTCCCTTCTCAAGACATTAACCATTCATCTCAATCCACTTCTCTTTACCATATCCATAACCAGTTTCCTCAAGATATCTTGGGCTAGTTTGCAAAATATCCCTCTATTTGTCCGATGCGTCTTCACCTGCCCAAAGATGTGCGAACGCTGAGCAAAATATTTCGAACTAATTTCTTGAGCTCGAGTTTCAAGTTTTGAGGTCGAGTCTCGAGCTGATGAAGCCGCGATTTGTACCTTCTGGATTAGGTCCTAAATAAAAAATAGCGGGCTATTTGGCAATTTCGAGGTGATGAAGACAAACAAAATGATACTTTGCAAATACGTAAAGGTAGTGGGTCGTCAGTTTCCATGTGCAGAATGTCAAAATTCGCCGACACCAGACTTGGTGGAAATACCATTAACGGGTGTTAAAGTCTGCACACAGTAAGCCCATGGGTAAATCAAGAAAAAAACCTTTTCTCTCGGAGAGTCTTCGGCTGATGCAAAAGTCATATAATGACTTTGCCATATGGGGAAAAGACAATGCATTACATAAAGCCTGTAGGTCATGAAAATTAAGGCTAACCCTGGTGATTAACAACGCCTGTTATTGGGTAAACACCCGAATGATGTCAGAATTCCCGGTAAGAGCCCACTTTTATGTGTCTTTAATAATGCCAATGATTTTGATTCCATATAGGATCTGTTTGTGATTTCCGCCTCAATTATGGACGATCGTTGAGCAGCAGGTCGAAGGTCATTGCTATCAACAGAAATAAAGAACAACTATACAAGGTATGTTACTTTTTTATGCACTTCATAAAAAACAATGAATATGTACAATATTCAAATGTGCAGTAAAAACAAAACAAAATAAAACCATACGATACAAAACAAAGCATTTATAATGAATAAATCATATTAATTCAGAGTAGAAAAGAAATAAAACAAGATAACAGGTCGAGTGACGACCGGTGTTAAAGATTGCAAATCTTAGTTATGCCAGCCTTAGCAAGAAGAAGGAGAAGGAGAGAGGGAAGATATACCGGTAGATTATTTGGTATTGTGGGCAGCAGCAATATTAGGCTCTTGCCTTTTATAAGCTGTCTCTGCACGCATTTTTATTTCATGATCTGTTTGATGAATTTGCTTAAATGTCAACGTGAACTTGTCAACTTGAATGTACATAGTGAATTGATCAAACTAATTATTATGCAATACTTAGTAAGAATTAAAGTTTGTCCTCTAAGTAGAAATTTTAGTATTAAACATCTAGGCAGGCAATGAGTAGATAATAGTAGTAATTTGATTGTCATGGGGTATTGGGTGTCCAGACACTTAACAAACATAAACACTTTTCTTTCGCAATCAAATTTTACTGAATATTTATATCAAATAGCACTAACCATCATGAATATTTGTCCTTTATAATATTGTCCGACATAAGTCTTGGAAGATGTATGAAGCATTGCTCGTAAACTTCTTCAAATGGTAGTTTTAAATCAGCTGTCTGGATACACAGCCTGTCCAGACACACAACGTCTAGGAATACCTGCAATGAAAGTTATAAGATATGGGAATAATAATAAACCATTCAATATTTAGAGGCACGATAGCTCAGTTGGTAAAGCAGTGGTCTCGTAATCCAGCGGCCAGGGCTCGAAATTAAGTCGATGCGCTAGTGCCCTTTGGTAAGGCATTAATAATCCTCATTACCAGGTCCCTGAGAGAAGAATTAAAGTCGTAGGTCCTCTGGTTGCTTACTAAAATTTACTAAGCATATATTCTTTCTTAGCAGTCAGGTAAAATAACCACCACTACTTTATCATCTGAATATCTTGAATCTTCTTTTAGAACACCGATCTATTCTGGAAGCCTGCTCTAGCCGTCCAGGCTGATCCAGCGAGTTACCTGGTAGAACTACAGAAGGGTCTCGGAAGCTACACGTGCGATGAGGATTGGATTAAGACGCTCAGAGAACGAGATGGAGAGAAAGAGGCAGCTAATCTGTAAGGATACAATCTTAAAGCCCCACTGCACTACTTATAGCTACTTTCACCCTCTATATAGCAAACAATGCCTAATTGGTGACCATTAGTCCCCCATGATCCCCTTTTTCTTATGTTAATTGAGAGCTGATTTGATGAGATAACCACCTGTTGGTGAGTGGCGACCATGCAGGGAGGTCTACTCCCTCCTGGCCAAACTAGTGCAGAGGGGCTTTAAAGGGCAAGTCTACCCTGATATTAAGTTGGTTTTAATAGGAGCAGAAGGAGCTTAATTTCTTTTCTTTTCTTAATCATTGATGGTGGAATATATAATTTGTTTCATACAGGGGTTGTATAAAAACACATTTGCAACAATTATTTACATGTATAGAGTGCATGTATAACTGGAAATTTGCTTTAGGGCAAAAATAATTATTTCAGATGGTTTATTACAAAGCAAATAAATGGGGGGGGGGGGGGGGGGGCTCACACAAAACATCAGAGTTGCCAATTTGTGTTTGATTGATCGCAACCTCCAAAATTCATACCTCTCATTTTTCGGCTTCTTTTAAAACCAACTTAATATCAGGGAGGACTTCCCCTTTAAAGATGATGTTGATGATGAATGTAGTTGTGCTAGTAAGGATGATGATGACATGGTAGTGATGAAAGTGATTGCGATGATTGTGATGATGATGATGATGGTGTTAATCAGGATGATGATCAAAATGAAAATGGTATTGAGGATTATGGTGCATATTAATAAGTCTACATGTTAATTAAATCTACTGCCTAAATTCATTAGATATATTTCAAAATATTTCACAACTGGACTTAAATTAAACCGTTATCTCACTCTCTCATCTTATACATTGATTCTTGTAGAACGAAGGCATCTGAGAAAGCTGACCGGTATCTGAATCCTCTGAGTGTTCTCTACCAAGTTGAAGATGTGATTGAAGAGAGCGGAATGTACTGCCTTAATACTTTATATATTTAAAAACTAGACTTGTAAATTAAACTATTATCTCTCTCTCTCTCTCTCTCATCTTATATTGATTCTTGTAGAACGAAGGCATCTGAGAAAGCTGACCGGTATCTGAATCCTCTGAGTGTTCTCTACCAAGTTGAAGATGTGATTGAAGAGAGCGGAATGTACTGCCTAAATACTTTATATATTTAAAAACTAGACTTGTAAATTAAACAGTTATCTCTCTCTCTCTCTCTCTCATCTTATAATATATTGATTCTTGTAGAACGAAGGCATCTGAGAAAGCCGACCGGTATCTGAATCCTCTGAGTGTTCTCTACCAAGTTGAGGATGTGATTGAAGAGGACGGAATGTACTGCCTAAATACTTTATATATTTAAAAACTAGACTTGTAAATTAAACCGTTTTCTCTCTCTCTCTCTCTCTAATCTGATTCTTGTAGATCGAAGGCATCTGAGAAAGCTGACCGGTATCCGAATCCTCTGAGTGTTCTTTACCAAGTTGAAGATATGATGGAGGAGAGCGGAATGTACTGCCTAAATACTTTATATATTTGAAAACTGGACTTGTAAATTAAACCGTTTTCTCTCTCTCTCTAATCTGATTCTTGTAGAACGAAGGCATCTGAGAAAGCAGACCAGTATCTGAATCCTCTTAGTGTTCTCTACCAAGTAGAGTATGTATTGTGTTGGAAGAGAACGGAATGTACCGCCTAAATACTTTATATATTTAAAAACTAGACTTGTAAAGTAAACTATTATCTCTCTCTCTCTCATCTTATACATTGATTCTTGTAGAACGAAGGCATCTGAGAAAGCTGACCGGTATCTGAATCCTCTGAGTGTTCTCTACCAAGTTGAAGATGTAATGGAGGAGAACAGTGTCATCGTGGCTGACGGAGGGGACTTTGTTGGCAGCGCTGCGTATATACTCAGGTAAGTACCATGTAAACAGTGGTGATGGTGGTGGTGGTGGTGGTGGTGGTGGTGGTGGTGGTGGTGGTGATGAGGATATTGATGTTGACAATGGTGCTGATGATGGTGATGATTATTATGATGATGATGATGGTGGTGGTGGTGATGGTGATGATGATGGTGATGATGATGATGATGATGATGATGATATGATATTGATGATGATGATGGTGATGATGATGTAGAATAAAATGATGATGATGATGATGATGAGGATATTGATGTTGACAATGGTGCTGGTGGTGATGATGATGATGGTGATGATGATGGTGATGATGGTGGTGATGATGGTGGTGATGGTGGTGGTGATGATGATGGTGTTGGTGACGATGAAGGTGATGATGATAGTGATGATGATGGTAACGATTATGATAATGACGACTATGATTGGGATGATGAAGGTGATGATGATGGTGGTGATGATGAGGATGGTGATGATGGTTATGATGATGATGATGATATGATATTGATGATGATGATGGTGATGATGATGTTGAATAAAATGATGATGATGAGGATATTGATGTTGACAATGGTGCTGGTGGTGATGATGATGATGATGGTGATGATGATGGTGATGATGGTGGTGATGATGGTGGTGATGATGATGGTGTTGGTGACGATGAAGATGATGATGATAGTGATGATGATAGAAACGATTATGATAATGACGACTATGATTGGGATGATTAAGGTGATGATGATGGTGGTGATGATGAGGATGGTGATGATGGTGATGATGATGATGATGATTATGAAAATGCTGATGATGTTGGTGATGATGACAGTGATGTTAATGAAAATGAAACTGATAGCGATGCTGAAGATTATGACGGTGATGGTGATAACAGTTATAAAGATGATGATGATGGTTGTGGGCAAGGTGCAGTTGACGACGATGGCGATGATGGTAATGATGATAATACTTCTAAGTCATGCACCATATAATAATTTTCACACAGACCCAGAGGCCCACTGAAGTGGCTAGACCCCGGTGCCTTTGGAACTCTTGGCGTCGGCGGGGGCTTTGCCCTCGGCGCCAAACTCTGCTACCCCGACGCCAACATCTGGATTGTGTACGGTGACGGATCGCTCGGATACAGCCTGATGGAGTTTGATACATACTTTCGTCACAAGACACCTGTCATTGCGGTGGTTGGTAATGACGCGTGCTGGACGCAGATTTGCAGAGAACAGGTGCCTATACTGGGTTCAAGGGTTAGCTGTGATCTAGCGGTAAGTGTGCTGTCTGTCTGTTTGTCTGTAACATAGACGTGTTGTAGTCTAGTGATGGAAGCACTTGACTTGAAATGCAAAGGTCATTGGTTTGATTCCCGGCACAGTATTAATCTACATTTGGCAAGGCTCTAAACTAAAGGTGCTCATGCGTGGGTAGCACAGGGCCGCACACTGAGCTAATGGGTATTACGCTCCCGCGCATTCCAGTGTCCATTTAGTGTCCGTCCGGGAGCGTAATACCCGATGGCTCAGTGTTCGCCAAATTGTCTAGTTCAGGAACGACTATATACCCAAGCATGAACATCTTTAATCTAACAAAAGATCGAGGGTTCGAATCCAACCCAGGCAGATGACTGAAGCCTGTGTTTCATAGACCCAGGCTATGTAAAGTGGAAAACACTCTGTGCCTTGGATAGGATGTTAAATGGATGACCCGTGTTGAGGAGAGTCACCACCTTTGCATGATTAGAACCCACTGCACTATTCATATAGGAGTATGTTAGGTAGAAACCCCGGTGTAGCGGTCCACCAGCGCACCCCCAAAGTGGTAGGAGAGACATTAGGGTTACAGTGATTCAGTTCGCTCTTCGTCTCCCAGGCATAGGTGACGCCAATGCTCAATTATAAATAGATCCATATTTGCCATTTCCTTGCAGTTCTGTGATTATGACAAGGCGGTCGAGGGTATCGGAGGAGTGGGCATCAAGCTCACTAATGAATCCAAAGACGAGGTGCGTCAGAAGCTGATCGAGGCCCAGAAACTTAGCAAAGAAGGCAAGCCGGTCCTCATAAATTGCTTCATCGGAAAGACGGACTTCAGGAACGGCTCGATATCGGTGTAATCTAGATCAATTAAATATTCACCCTTAGCGGTTCAGAATTTTCCTGGAGGGGTTAAAATTTCAGCTTTCACTCCTCAAATTGGCACCACTTAGGTTTCTCATTCAGCTCCTTCATAGTTTAAACAACCATAATAATCTGTATTAATTCAAACCAATGTGAATAATCAATCACTACTAAATTCAACCAATACTTGCCAATTTATACATAATAATAGTGATTATATGATATCACACTGTATTGCCAATTTACAGATTTTAAGGATTGTTTGCAATTCAATTATTCTTATTCATGGGCAACACAATCGACTCAGATTTGTTTGTGTGTGATATTATATGCTGTTTACGCTCATGTATAATAATGTATTATTCCAAGCATTCTGGTCCAAAAGATGATTCATAAATGTTGCTAAAACAAGACCCTTAACTGCTATAGGTGAAAGGGAGGGGGGGGGGGGTGTCTATGCTGATGTTATGTTATAAAAGGAGACCCTCATAAAAGTATGACATTTTGCTTTTATATAACTCCAATCATTTTTGAACAATCACCTATTAATTATTCATGTGAACCAGTTTTAGACAGGATACATTTTGTGACCGCGCTGCACAATCGCTCTGCACAAAATTTTCGATACTGTGCGGTATTACCCAGTGTCCAAATTTCATGAATTTGGTGTTAAAAGACGCACAAGTCTTGGGGTTTGAAAGTCATGAAAGCAAGGGATTAGAAGGAAAAAAATTGTTGTAGTTATCGTGGGAAAGTACAGGGTGTCCCCCCTCCTTAAGGTTAACAGACTTTTATGCAGTATTACATGCCAGGGGCATTAAGTATATCTCTTGTGCAACTAAACTTTCACTTTTACATTTCTCTACAATGCCGGTATTGTACAGTGTATATGTATAGCCATACAACACAGTCCTATACCCTAATCAATTGATTGGTCAAATACGGTCACGTGTGATTCATTTACCAAGATTATCTCACTTTCTTTTTTAATGACAAACTTTGTCACATGCAATTTTTTCAGTACTTTCCAACAATGTTTAAGTTTGCCAAGCACAGCAGTGCACTTACCGTAAATGTTTTATCTCTGTGTGTGACCGAAGTGAGCCTATTAAACCTAGTGTTTATTTGTCAGCGATAATGAAACAAAACAATCTTGAAATGAATGCTCTTTACATCAATTAGCAAGGATCTAGGACATTTGTTTTCTAAAACAAACGATGCATGTTTTTCACTCATTTATTCAACTATCTATTCACTCTCGTTGAGGCTGTTAATGCATGTCTTACTCAGCGTGAAGGTTTCGTACGATAGATGCATACAGCCTCAACTCATGTCTGGATAGATGGTATAATGAACTCGTTCACATGCATCATTTGTACAACGATACATCTCATTTGCATTCAAATATGCTTGAAACATATATTTGTTTGTTTTGTCGGGTATATAGTTTAATTGTGATACAGGGTGATATACCAGTATTTCTTTGTAGGTTTTAGGCCCATCTGAAAGAGGCGGGGTGCGATAGGTGTTAACTTCATGTACTTGGCTTCTTTGTGTCTTATGCAGATAGTGTGATAATTGTTATGAACTGTGACATCTACTTAACGGACCATTTTTGTATATGAACTATGGCTTTTCTTGCTTCTCATATTCTTGATTTTTTGCCATATCTAAATGAGAAATGATGTTATTTGTATATACTTGTGTAATCGGTTTTAGTTACTTTTATATAATTTTGGTACAAATTTCTAGATTCTCTGATATGTAAGAATCACATGATAATGTGACAATATTGATTGAAATGTAGTAACCTTCTTCTTAGAAATGAAAATGGAATATATAATGAAATGAGGATGGTACCCAAAAGAGTGGAACACCTGATATATGCAATGTCACCTGAATCATTGGCACAGCATCATTTTGTTTCTATTGGATACAATAATTGTTTTTCAAGTAAAATAACACCAAAACTATCAATTTTGTGTAGGTTGTTTAGATTCTAATGTCATTGTTGTGATGCAACATCATTTTCAAACTCTACTACTTGTGCAACTATTGTCATGCTCGAAGCAGTATGAAATTTGGGCAAGACGGCTTTCTGTGCAATCAGCTCTGTTGATTGCACGACTGTGTTCAATCAGCTCTGTTGATTGCACGACTGCGTTCAATCAGCTCTGTTGATTGCACGACTGCGTTCAATCAGCTCTGTTGATTGCACGACTGTGTTCAATCAGCTCTGTTGATTGCACGACTGTGTTCAATCAGCTCTGTTGATTGCACGAGTGCGTTCAATCAGCTCTGTTGATTGCACGATTGCTTATGCACTCTGTACAAAACTTGCACAAAATCATGAACTAATAAGAGTACCGGTATTAAAATTATTCTAATAATATTTATAATTACAATGTAAAGAGCTTAGAAATGTAGTATAAATGTGACTTTTATTATTGCAGTCAAACCTGCTTTAATGACCACCTATCTATAAAGACCACATGTTTTTGGATTTTGACAATCATTATTAGGGGTTTCTTGTACATTCCATGTGTGTTTACAAGGATGGATCAAATAATTTTTATGAGGGGATTGGACCCTGGACCCCCCCCCCCCCCCCCCTCCCCTATTAAACTAAGACCATCCTGATTTTGTTATGAAATAGCTCAACTGCTAACTGCGCACAAGCCAAATCTGTTTTGCAAAAAATAGTTTGACTGATGCAAAATTTGACTTAGGAAGTGAAACTAACACAACTTTTGCGTCTTTGAGTAAGAGATAACTGCAGAGATAACTGTATTTGAATTGTTGAGATTTGATGCACATAAGCCTGTGTTGTGTGTTGTACTTTAATTCAAATCTGACACTGGGCTTATAAAGAGAAGGTTGAGTTTTGGGGAGAGGTGAAAAATAATTTGTGAGCATTATCATTCTTATTATGCAAGTGTGGAAGAACATCAAAACATGTCTCTTGAAAAGCATGGCTCTTTCAATGCATTTATATTTTAAATCATGACAAGTAACAGCTTTAAAATGAGGCCCAATTTTTATCCCACATGTTTGTGTAGTCCAATATACATCTTTCTGTGTACATGCAGTGCTTGTTACTTTAATATGACCAAAATTGGGTCAAATTTCCTATCTTTTTGATGACTCTTGCAGAACCTTGCAGTAGACACCAATACTTATAGGCCGTTTCTTTGACAATGCAACCGCATTGGGATCAACAGAGGAACTTTATCCGAGGTTTGCTTTGTTAAAAGGTGATCTTAGACTCATGATTGGGTTGAACTGAATTGAAAAAATAAGGACCACAGACTTTCAACCTTTGAAGCCATTTTTGTTTGTGATGTGAGAAAAAATACTTTCTATTGTAATAAATAATTGAATCATGAGAAGTAACCATCTGTGTTTAGTTTGTTGTCATCTCATGAATTGAAAGGTAATAACGATGATGATGAAAAAGCGTTTGGAAAGTTGAGATATGTTGTTTTTAAGAAGAATGATGAAAATCCCTTGGACTGACAAAGTTAGTAATGATAAAGTTCTTAGAAGAGCTGGAGTGCTTAAAGGAAAATGATAAGTGAGATGTTGATTAGGCAGTTGAATTTCATGGGGCACATGACATGTAAAGAAGGCATAGAGTTTATCTTGCTTTGATAGGGAAAATTGTGGGAAGGAGGAGTAGGGGGAGAAGGAGGATACTTTCGATGGACAGTCTGCAGACATTGCTAGAGAGAGTAGTGAAACGGAGTGAAATAACTGGGAGTGGTGCTAATAGAGAAGGCTAGAAGCAGAGGGCTGTGGAGTCAATCGATATGACACTTAAGGAGAGATGATGATGATAATACTATTAATGATATTACTAGTGATGATTATGAGAATACTACTACCAGAATGATGATACTACCAATGATCGTACTAATGATGATGACAATACTAACAATAATACTAATGATGGTGATAATACTGATGATGATGATGATAACACTACTGATGATGATGATAACACTACTGATGATGGTGATAATACTGATAATGGTGATAACACTACTGATGATGATGATCAGGGGCGTACGCAGGTTTTTTTCAAGGGGGGGGGGGGGGGGGGGTTTAAAATCCAGTCCAAAATATTTTGCTCCCAAATAATTTGAAAATCGCGCAGGCCGACTCAGTGGGGGGGGGGGGGGGGGGGGGGGGGGGGGGGGGGGGGGGGGGGGGGGATAAGCGGACACTTTTTTTTTTTTTTTTTTGGTCTCGAAATTTGAAAATTTGACATTTTTTTTCGTTTGGGGGGGGGGGGGTAAGGTCACTTTACATCAGCCGTGGGCATAATTATTTTTTATTTTATTTTTTTAAATTAAAAAAAAAAAAAAAAAAACCAAGGGGGGGGGGGGGGGGGTTTAGTTTTTTTTAAAGGGTTTACACACATAAAAATACCAAAGGGGGGGGTTTGAACCCCCAAACCCCCCCCCCCTGCGTACGCCCCCGATGATGATAATACTACTGATGATGATATTAATACTACTGATGATGATGATGATAACACTACTAATGATGGTGATAATACTGATGATGATGATGATAATACTACTGATGATGATGATGATAACACTACTAATGATGGTGATAATACTGATGATGATGGTGATAATACTGATGACGATGATAACACTACTAATGATGGTGATAATACTGATGATGATGATGATAACACTACTAATGATAATAACCAGGGGGGGCTCAACTCCGCTTCTGTATCCGTCTAGCCATGGGGACAATTTGGGATATGGGTTTCAGATGTTTTTTTAAGAAAGCAAGTGAAGTACTTTTTTTATGAGATACGCAACAGGTAGTCGTTGCATAGGGGTAACAGATTGAAAGGTCCGCCCTTCTCCCCACTTTTCATTCTCTCCCTTTTCCTTATGGTACTCAATGTCAGAGAGGCTGCACTACCAGTCATTAGTGATGCGTGGCATAGCTTATGTTGGGTACCATTTGCTACAAACAAGCATGTTGCACTTGCTCAGTGCACGCTGATATTTTATTGTACATAATGCAAAGTTCCCAACTGAATTATTCATAACCTTTCCAAGTCTTGTAATTTCATGTATGTGAAAATGTAATTTGTCCCGATATGCGTTTTTCCTGAGAATGCGACATATCAAATTTAACATCTAAAAGTATTCAACAAAGGCCGTAATTCAACCACTCCACCTTTCATTCTTCCGTTATGAAAAACATGAAAAGCATCAAATTTACAAGGGATATAGATAATTCAGTTGTTAACTGTATGTGAAAATGTAATTATCTACTTGACAGGACATACTTGAGAGGGTACAGGACATACTTGAGAGGGCACAGGACATACTTGAGAGGGTACAGGACATACTTGAGAGGGTACAGGACATACTTAAGAGGGTACAGGACATACATTACAGGGTACAGGACATACATGACCGGGTTCAGGACATACTTGAGAGGGTACAGGACATACTTGAGAGGGTACAGGACATACTTGAGAGGGTATACAACATACTTGAGAGGGTATACGACATACTTGAGAGGGTACAGGACATACTTGAGAGGGTACAGGACATACTTGAGAGGGTATACGACATACTTGAGAGGGTACAGGACATACATACAAATTTACAAAGGATATAGATAATTCAGTTGTTAACTGTATGTGAAAATGTAATGATCTATTTGTATCTCAATCACTTGTCTATCTCTCCCTTCTCTCTCTCTCTCTCTCTCTCTGTCTCCCTCCCTTTCCGTACCCCACCCTAATCTTCCTTTGTCCCTCACTAATTGCACTACTCTATCGCCCCTTCTCTCTCTCTCTCCGTACCCCACCCTAATCTTCCTTTGTCTCTCACTAATTGCACTACTCTATCGCCCCTTCTCTCTCTCTCTCCGTACCCCACCCTAATCTTCCTTTGTCTCTCACTAATTGCACTACTCTATCGCCCCTTCTCTCTCTCTCTCCGTACCCCACCCTAATCTTCCTTTGTCCCTCACTAATTGCACTACTCTATCGCCCCTTCTCTCTCTCTCTCCGTACCCCACCCTAATCTTCCTTTGTCTCTCACTAATTGCACTACTCTATCGCCCCTTCTCTCTCTCTCTCTCTCCCCTTTTCTCTGTTTCTCTCTCTTTCTCACCATCTATCACTCTTTCTTCTTCCTTCTCTCATACTCTCACTCGATCAGTCACTAATTTTACCTACCGGTATTAAATATATATTCTTTTTATCATACTACCACAACAAAATATTCATTGTACACTTTAATGTTCAACAGCATTAAAAGTCAAAATCTCTACTCATAAATAAGAGCCAATTCAGATAGATTTACAATTCAGCACTTTAATTTGCATGTCACAATACAAAATAAAAAAGCACATGCATGTAATATGTACATGAATGTCCACTTTTTGGTCTAATTTCGTTATTCCCAAAGGTCTGAAGTCTGAAGGTTAATATTTTAAAAAAATGAAATGGGATTCATAAATCGAAGCTTGAATTTAGACTATTTATGCCTAGTCTGGTTCTTTAGTTAAATCAGTCGAGGTAGTTGAGTCGAAATAGTCCCTAGCTTGGAAACACTGTGCGCTAGTCCAATCAGTGAACCCTGTTATATATACAACTCAAGGGAGACAAGATTAACCGTCTTTATACATGTATGCAGGTTCCTTGAATACATTTTGCAATGAAAAATGTCTTTACAGACACGTCTTTTTTCAAACGTGATTGTTAAAGCAGGTATGACAGTTTGACTTTGTGTAGCAAAGATTGCTTGAGGCTTGTCTCACGCAGCAACAACCAATACAGACATAGTATATTCCATACAAATCTGCTAGCAATCCCCTCAAAAAAAGTACTCAATTCAAATTTGAGCATTGATATCTATATTGTTACTATATTATTGTACATGACATTGGTATCACTGAAAGGCCTGTTTTTTTCCATATACAATGATGCCCCATTTGTAATGATTATGTAATCATGGAATGTGCAGGATACGGTTTTGAAAGGACGAGAGAAACATAGAAATTTTGCAATATCTGACCCAGGTTACTTACAATACATGATCGTATATGCGTTACCAGCGCATTTTCACTTGTTGAATTTTGCGAATCTATGGCAAATCTGCAAAAATAAAACCTTCACAAAAATAAGAGCTTATACAAAAGCCTAAACACACCAGGGTACGTTTCACAAAGTCTTTTTTCAATAACAAGTGATAAAAATCAGTGACAAATCTGCTGATAACCAATCAGAAGCAAGGATTTCACTAGCTTACAACACTAAATTTCATTTGTCACTGAGGACAGGTTTTGTGAAATGGGGCCCTGATTAATGGTTATCCTTGTGGGTCAACGAGTCAGGTTGGTGCTGAGCGTTACATTGAGACACATACTTCAAATTGACAATAAAAGCATATAAACAGCGACAACAAGCAATGTCTGGCACAACGGGCAAAGTCCCTTTCAGTCCATTTCTTGCCCCATTTGTAGGGATTTCCTGGCCATCTGTAGGGCTCCCTCCTTAGACTTGTTGCCGCCAATGAATCCTGATGCATGCACAAAGATGCAGCCGTAGATCCCAGAGAGTTCACTGAGGGCCTCGTCACGAACACCACGCCACTTCTCCGGGAGGGAGAGTCTGAGAGAAACACAAGAGTGAGAAAGGAAAGAGAGATGGATAACATATTCTGATGGATAACACAGACTGATGGATAACATACGTCTGGTTGGTAAAGGGTTTTTCTTAAGGAAATAACAGACAATCCATGGAATATATTCGACCGATAGGATACACGACATACTTGAGAGGGTGTAGGGCAAACTTGAGAGGGTACATGACATACTTGGGAGGGTACAGGACATACTTGAGAGGGTACAGGACATACATGACAGGGTACAGGACATACATGACCGGGTTCAGGACATACTTGAGAGGGTACAGGACATACATGACCGGGTTCAGGACATACTTGAGAGGGTACAGGGCATACTTGAGAGAGTACAGGGCATACTTGAGAGGGTACAGGGCATACTTGAGAGGGTACAGGACATACTTGAGAGGGTACAGGACATACATGACAGGGTTCAGGACATACTTGAGAGGGTACAGGACATACTTGAGAGGGTACAATACATACTTGAGAGTGTACAGGAGATACTTGAGAGGGTACAGGACATACTTGAGAGGGTACAGGGCATACTTGAGAGGGTACAGGACATACTTGAGAGGGTACAGGACATACATGACAGGGTTCAGGACATACTTGAGAGGGTACAGGACATACTTGAGAGGGTACAGGACATACTTGAGAGGGTACAGGACATACATGACCGGGTTCAGGACATACTTGAGAGGGTACAGGACATACTTGAGAGGGTACAGGACATACTTGAGGTACAGGACATACTTGAGAGGGTATACGACACATACTTGAGAGGGTTCAGGGCATACTTGAGAGGGTAACCTACCTGTTGTCAAAGGAATGTCTGTAGATGGGGACACACTGTATTCTCCAGGCTCCGCTGTTGTCAGGGTACAGGATATACTTGAAAAGGTTACCTACCCGTTCTCAAAGGAATGATTATTCATTGGGACACACTGTATTTTCCAGGCCCTGTTGCTGTCTTGGGAACAGGACATAAATGAGAGGGTACAGGGTATACTTGAGAGGGTTACCTACCTGTTGTCAAAGGAATGTCTGTTGATTGGTACACACTGTATTCTCCAGGCTCCGCTGTTGTCCGGGTACAGGACATACTTGATAGGGAGCTCGAGATCAAGGATCTTCTCCAGCTCAAATAGATGTTCCTTCCATGGACAGCCTCCCTGAGGGAAGGTGATGATCTCTCCACAAGCATCCACCTGGTTCACCCAAGGAAAATGAGAGAAAAGAAGGATAGACACAGATAAGCTACTGACACTCCAAAGTGTTTACCATAGTCCCTATTGTTTTGCATATATCTTTATTATCTCACACTATATATTTAGTTAAAGCCCATCTGCACTAGTTTGGCCAGGAGGGATTAGGCCACCCTGCTGGTCACTGACAGGCGGTTATCTCATCAACTCAGCTCTTAAATGAACATAAGAAAGAGAGGATCATGGATGACCAACGGTCACCACTTAGGCATTGTGTTCTATAGGGAGCAAGTAGCTACAAGTAGTGCAGTGGGGCTTTAAGGAGTATAGTTTCATCTTCTTTTTTTGTTTCATATGTTTTTATAATACGTATCAACATTTTCTATCCTGGTTGCACTAGTCTGGTTTTGAGGAAAGACCTCAAGGATTCACTTTTTGGTCTGGGTTTCTATACCAAGGCAACCAAGCTTACATGTAAAAGTATTTGACAAAGGTCCAACTTCATCTAGTCAACTTCATTCTTGAGTTACGAAAAGCCAAACAAACAAAATAATTAAAAATGGGTATGGATAATTTAGTCGCTAACTGGTAATCTATTTAGTAGTTACTTACATTGAATCTTTCTTGTAGGGCTGTCTTGACAACACTCCTGGCCGGTAACCACACCTTACCATAATAGTTTACTCTATCAAGGAACTCCTTCCCTGTCAACTCTACGGCCTTCTTGAAACCACTCTGAAACAGACAAAACAGATCTTGAGGTTTAGTTCACTCTATCAAGGAACTCCCCTCCTGTCAACGCTACGGCCGTCTTGAGACCGCTCTGAAACAAACAAAACAGAACTCAAGGTGTAGTTCACTCTATCGAAGAACTCCTCCCCTGTTAACGCTACGGCCTTCTTGAAACCACTCTGAAACAGACAAAACAGAACTCAAGGTGTAGTTCACTCTATCAAAGAACTCCCCCCCTGTCAACGCTACAGCCTTCTTGAGACCACTCTGAAACAGACAAAACAGAACTCAAGGTGTGGTTCACTCTATCGAGGAACCCCTCACCTGTCAATGCTACTGCTTTCTTGAGACCACTCTGAAACAGACAAAACAGATCTCAAGGGTTACCGTATTTGCCGGCAATAAGGCTGCAGCGCCGTATAGGCCGCAACCCCCAATTTTGACATTAAAAAAAAAAAAAAAAAAAAAACACTTTTTTTCGAAGTCGGGATTTGATCTTTTGCGTATAAATGTTGATTTGACTAAAATCACCGCCTTAGACCGCTCGGCCATCCCGCACTGATGCTAGCTTATGTAGTTTTTTGTGATGTATACATTGCGCCTCTCTCTTGTGTATTGAAATGGATTCAAAATAGCGACTTCGCGTGCTGGAGCTTCGCAGCAGCTCCGTTAAACGGGCCCTTCTTTTACTTTTGCAATGCATTGGCACGAACTTGGATCAGAGATCTATCGGCAGATGTTGTTTTCGGAAGTTTATTTTCGTCTTCATGTCAACAATGCAAGATAAAATTGTCGGTAAGATGTGTGGAAATGTATAGTTATTGTACCGTTCGTAGATCTAGTCCCATATGTGCAAATTCGTGCTGGTTTTGACTTACTTTTCAAATTTTTTTTTACTCTTTTGTCACATAGGCCGCACCACGACTTTTTGATATTTTCTCTTCCAAAAATCCTGCGGCCTTTACGCCGGCAAATACGGTAGTTAACTCTATCAAGGAGCAAGCTGAGCCAACGGGAGTGTAATACCTGTTGGCTCAGCCCTCTATATACCCATGCATGAGCAACTTTAATTTGCACGTCACTGAAAGTCATAAAATTATCGTTATCATCATCGTTGAATTTCTTGTTATTAGAATTTGTATGATTATTACAATTATTAGTAATCTATAATAGTAGCAGTAGTAGAAATAATAGTGGCAGTAGTATCATCAACATCGTTTTTATTATTATCATTAATACTCGATTAAGAATTTTTCTGTAATTTCTCACCTCATAATCTTGGACCTCGTCATTCCATTTGGGGTTTAGGTGGCCCACCCTAGCGCTCAGGTTTGTAGAGACTACGTACCTAGAAAACAAAGATCACAGATTCTGAAGATTAGCCCATTGCCTACGAGAATGTCTTCATCAGCACGAGATTGCCAAATATCCCGCTATTTCAACTATCCCGATCGCAAATTATCCAGCTAATTTGCGTCTTCATCAGCCTGAAGTTGCAATTAGCAGGATATTTGGTCAATAAAATATCCCAAGAAAATTTGGTCTTGTTTCCAAAATATCCTGCTATTTGGGAAAAAGCGGAATTTGCGCCCGCCCGAGCTAGTTTGTGATTAGCGTATCTGGGGAAGACGCAATTTCAAACTTCGGGATAATATCCCGAGTCTGAATATAGCAAGTTTGGAAAACTCGAGCTGATGAAGGCAGGGCTTATGAGAACTGGGTGGTCCCTGTACTTAAGTCTATGTGAATTAGAGGATTCAGTAGTTAACAGGTTAAAGATTATGACCTGGGACCAGTTTCACAAAGCCTTTTTTCAATGACAAATGGCTAAAATCAGTGACAAATCTGCTGATAACCAATCAGAAGCAGGGATTTCAGTAGTTTTTAACCAAAAACTGTTATTTGTCACTGATGATAAGTTGTGTGAAATGGGGCCCAGGCAATTGAACGTAAAGAGAAGGTTGTGCTCTAGGAAAGGCAACAAATAATTTGTGAGATTTTTCATTCTTCTTATGTTAGTGTGGAAAGGTAATTTCCCCTGAAAACGAGGGCTCTTCAAACTCCCTCATATTTAAAACATGAAAAGTAACGATTAAAGCTTTTGGACCACACTTTGGTGCCATATGTTTGTTTACGGTAGTCTCATATACATTTCTGTGACAGTGTAATTATAGTATGCCATATTCGCAAGTATATATATTTTTTTTTTTTCCAACGATTCTTATAATTTTCTTAAATTTTTTACAAATTTGGTTTCATGTGTTTGGTATATTGTGCTTAAGGTGCAAAAGAAAAGGAGGCACATGAATGTTCACAAAAGTATGTTATTGTTCGAAATACATTTTTGTTATCTGTTGTATCAGCGCTCTAGCGAACAGTGTACTGTGAAATTAGTTAAAGATAAGGTTGAGTTCTGGTCATGCAATTGCATTATGAAAGAAAATGTGTGGAATCGATCAGAAAAAGTTCATCATGTAGCATGTAAGTATTGGTGTCTACTGCAAGGTTCTGGAGTCATCAAAATCATAATAAATTTTGCCCAGTCTTGGTAAAGTAACATGCACTGTACACAGAAAGATGTATATGGGACTACATAAATGGTGTCGGGGCTAGAAATCTTGATTTCCTTATCTTTCTATGCTCATTACTCAGCCAGTATACATTTTCTACCAAAATTGTTTGGCAAATAACATTTATTTGTAATGTTGAACATTCAGTGTAAGCTTCGTTTGATTCTTTGAGAATTGATTTTCTATTTTTACCAGGGGGGGAGGGGGGTGTTTCACAAAGATCCTAAGTCCAACTTAACTGTAAGTTGGACTTAAATATTATGGAGAGCCATTTGTAGCCTTAAAATAAAATATATTAAAAAGCAAATATTTAAGTATTTTAGACTTCTCATTCATTCCACATCAAGAACATGTCATCTCCTTGATAATAGAACATATTTATGATTTGAATCAGTATTTTATGCCTTTTAAAATAACTTTTACAAAATATTTTCAAAGATGCTAATGGCTTTCCATAACTTTTAAGTCAAACTTAGAGTTAAGTTCTACTTAGGATCTTTGTGAAACACCCCCCAGAACTCAAGTTTATCTTTAATAAGCACCAATCTACCTCGGCTTTTCATCTGTCTGATCCACGCCATTGTCAATTGCATCGACCTCTTGCATGAAGTTATCATAGACCTTGTTATAGACAGAGGTCACGTCGGGGTCATCGGGTGAAAGGTCAAGGGTCCTCCAGATGACCTCTTTACCGAAGTGAAAGTAGACGAGACCGGCACTGCTGAGTTTGATGGTCCATGGCATCTCGGCGTTCAAGGAATTCATGGTGTCTTTGAATGTTCTGATCCGGGGTGAAAACGATATTAATTAATGCTAATAATAGTAGTAACAGTAGCAGTAATCATGATAATAATCATAATAAAAATTATTATATTGATAAGAAGAAGAAGAAGTAAAAAGTAGTAGAAAGTCGTCCGTGGGGCCCGTTGCAAAAAACTTACCATTGATGGTAACTTTGCCATCAATGGTAACTACCACATAAACCTTGGTTTTAATTGGCTGTTGAGCCGTTACCATGGTAGTTGCCATTGATGGCCGCATTTCCATTGATGGTATTGTTTTGTGCAACAGGGCCATGTCGAACAACAGAAAGTTACATTCATAATTATAAAAGTAATAGTAGTAGTAACATTTATTCAGCACTTATACTGTTTCAAAGCACTGTCGTAGAAGTAGTAATAAAACTAGTAATACAAATAATGAGAATAACAATGATTATAAAGATAATAAGAAGATGACGATGACAAGAAGAAGAAGAAAAGAAAAAAGAAGAAGAAAAGAAAGAAGAGGAAGACAACACGAAATAACGAATAGTAGTCATGTCCAACAACAAAAATTTAAATTGATAATAGTAATACATTGTAGAAACATTTATATAGCACTTAATACCGTTTCTAAGTACTGTACTGTTATTACCCTGGCATCATAGCTACCCTGGTAAAGCACTCTAGTTTTCAAGGAATCCCTTCCGATTTGGTGCCCATTTACATCACCTGGGGGGTGTTTCATAAAGCTGTTCGTAAAGTTACGCATGATTTTATGAACGCCTTATATATAAAAAGCCAAATGTGATGCTCAATTATTATCAACTGCATCAACTTAAGTTGAACTGTGCAGATGTAGATTAACATTCTTATCATAACAAACATTTTTGATGCAAAGTATATTTTTTGCCATAATTCAATTGAGGTTATTGGAAATATCAGAAAAAACTGTGGGCATCCTATCTGGCACTTCATATACAAGTCGTTCGTAAAGTCATGCGTAACTTTACAAACGGCTTTATGAAACACCCCTCTGGGTGGAGAGTGGCACATGTAAATTGATGTATCCTAGAGTACCCACCTTTGGTGATGATCATAGCGATGTCGTTTTGGATCGAACACCCCACCGACGTCGACCACAATGTCGCAGGTTTCTAGAACAGCCGGGTCTCTGGTGCGGACAATTTCTAAAAGGAAAAGATTATCTCAAGAATTAGAATTTGATAGAATGACCTCCTTTTTGCTTTTTTTCTGGAGGGGGTTGGGGGGGGGGGGGGATGGAGGAGATAGAGAAATGAAAAAAGGTGTACTCATACAAATTTTGAAAGTTTTTAGTCAACTGAAAGAAATAATAAATGTATAGCTGGAATGTATATATATATTTATAAATCTTAACCTCAAGAACGTTTACTTGACATCCTACAGGTTAGGATTATGACGAAAATAAAGTTGCTATGGTTACCTGCGTCTTTATACTGCGGTAGTCTCTGCAGCATGTAACAGGCCAAGGTCTCGTCACAGTGGAACGTTCCATTGTGCGTTCCTATTCGCACACATGTACGCTTGGAGCCACTTCCATTATCGTCAGACATTGTGTTCCTACCTAGAATAATCACGAGAGTAGAATTGTTTAAACGTTTAAAGGTGAGTAGACTCAACTGGTTATGCTTATTTAAAAAGGGGGTGCTTCTTCGTCCAACCCCAACGATCCTTCCATGTTATAGACCCTATCGTCCATTCAACATGGGGAAGAGAAATTACGCATGCGCGGTAGCGGCGCAGCAAATGAATGCGCGCATACTTTCTATTCGCCATGTTGAATCGACGATACAACATGGAAGAATCGTCGTGGTAGGACGAAGAATGACCCCCTTTTTCCCCATCGAAGACTTCTTCAAATTATAATTTCAAGTGGCCAGCGAAATGCCCAGAGGAGTCGAGCAACCTAGTAAGTCAAAGTTGTAATTACTCCCTTTGCATATTTTGAGACAATGTCGCCCAACCCGCTGCACTGTTTGAATAGTTTTCCTATGGTGCCTCTGAAGCTCTGAGGCCTTCGGCATCGGTGTCGGAGCTTCCTGGAGTTAGTCGATGCATAATTCGTTATTAAACATATAACAGTTTAAAATCATGACATTGGTAAATAAGTAATGAATGGAACTTAGCTTAGAGTCTAGTTAGATCTAGAAATCTACAAGTTTTGTTTGTATCATTTCAAAGTACAATAATTCATACATTAGTCATTACAGCAGGTTTTTACAAAATACTGCGTAAATGTAGATCTACTGCAGTACAGTGACAGCCAGATAGTAATGCTGCTATGTGTGGAGCCATAGCCTGGTTTAGCTCTCCATACGGCTACTGGCTACGGCCCTAGGCATAGCGCATATCGCCTAGAAATCTATGGCTCTGCAGGTCACCAGGACCCACTTTACACTCACCACACCACACTCTAAAACAATTATATGGGACTATTGTCGCATGAATCCATACTTTGAAAGTAGAAAAACGTCAACATTACTCACTCAAAATGTTGTATTTTCGGATTAGGAAATTGCCAACCTGGTCTTTTATCCAAATATGTTGATGATAAACCCGAGAGAAATGAAATATTGATGGTATTCTACGCATCAACATGCCACTTTCTGTCGCGATAACCTTACCAAGAACACGGTCGCACACGTGAACACGACGGAGCTGAGTTGAAAATGAGTGCAACACCCGAGCGAAGCTACATAAAGCGCTAAACCGCCATATTGGTACTCCCATGGGCAGCGCGAGGTGCCCGAATATAATACCGTTACGTCATTACACCCCGGATGCGTCTTTTCCCCCTATATAGCCATCCTAGAATGCATATATATCAAATTCAAATTAAATCGGCCAGATTCTGGACCAAATTATATGTCGCAATATTGATTATGGACAAGTTACGACCTGGGTACTAAGTCGAAATTGGATCAAAATTAATATGAAATTGAATGAAAAAAGGTGTTAAAATGGAAGGGAAAACCTAGATCGGAAGTTTAATACAAGAGAGGAAATATCAATTGGTTCAATGAGTCTGATATATTGTTCAACCATCTAGTAAATATCTTCCTCGAAGAAAAAAAAAAGCCAGTTGTTATTGATATCGGTCTGATAAACATAATTGAACACACATGTACGCAAGTAATTGCTAACAAATAGTTAAGGGAAATACAATTACTGTGGTGATTCTGGGCTCTGTTTCATAAAACTTGTAATCAATATCAAATGCTAAAATTCTATGACAAATTATCTCTCAACCGATCGGATTCCACATTTCAGTAGCTTATAGCAGTTATTGTAACTTTGTATTGATGTCAAGTTTAACCCTAATAAGGCCGGGGCCATTATGTCCCCCCCCCCCCCCCCCCTCCACGATTTTTCTGATTGTTCGGAAACGCATATGGAAGGCGCCCCGCCGCTCGCTGCCTGTTTTCTCTCGAGTCTTGCGCATCTTTGAAAAGAATTGTTTTGAAAAAAACATTGTCAACTATAAATCATAGCTTACGTAAAACAAAATACCAAAACAATTAAAGAGAAAGGAGAAGAGGCAATTTGTATGCAATAAATATATCTACTTTTAAGAAATATTTACAAAAAGTGAAAAAGAAAACAAAAATTGCGAACCTGATAATTGAACAGAAAACTGGGTAAATATGAACATCATCAAGAATAGATTTTTTTTTTTAATTACCACCCGGTCCCCCCCCCCCCCCCCCCCCCCCCCCCGACCCCCCCCTAACAAACAAAAAAAACAGGAGTACCGTGCAGACATATTTCTTTCTCTCCCTCGACAGATCTCTCCGACTCTATGCACCTTTTGTGTCGCTATTCGATTGGATTTTGGGGATCGAGTGGGTAGCGGGGGGGGGGGGGGGTTGGGGTTGGGGCACGAACCCCATTCCCTACTGTAACTTTGCCACTGACAATAGCCCCTCGCTGCATCCCCTCAGTAGAACCACACACTACGAATATGACGGACAAAGAAAGCGAACAAAATATACAGTTCCACAGGTAGACAAAGAAACATCCCTTCACTGGTATTATATGTAAACATTTGTAGAACACATGCATATTCACTTTTTACATAATAGCAGTGAAGGGATGTCCCTTTGTCTAGCTCAGGCGCGTACACAGGGGGGGGGGGGGTTCGGGGGTTAAACCCCCCTTTGGTATTTTTTTGTGTGTAAAACCCCCCCCCCCCCCCCCCCCCATAATCCCCTAAACCCCCCCCCCACCCCCTTTGGATTTTTTTTTTTAATTATTAAAAAAATTATTCCAATGGCTGACCTAAACAAGGTGACCTTACCCCCCCCCCCCCTCCCCCCAACGGAGCAAAATGTCAAATTTTCAAATTTCGAGACCAAAAAAAAAAAAAAAAAATGTCCTCGTTGGACTAGTTAATCAGCAGTTTATAGTTCATTATTCCTCAACTATTATTACATCGAAAAAACTCGCTGTGCCGCAGAAGTAAAGGCGGTGAATGACGTCATTGATCTGCACTGAAAGGCCCATAATGCTTGATTATACAAATAACGTAAGTAGTTAATACCTTTTTAAAAATATTTTTAGAAAAAAGCAGTTAATTGTATTCAGAAGTCATAGAATTGGACCGTTTTAAGTATTGACATATACAACAACATGGGCAACACATTAAATCAAAGCAGCAATCAAATTTATTAACGTGCATTCTTGTTCGAGCAACTTTTCTCCACTCGTTGCTCCCCGTTTCACTTTTAAACTTATTGCATTCAATTTCGTTTCGAGTCACCGAATTTACTAAACATGCACATTCAAATCAAAGCTTGGTTCAGTCAATTTGGAAATGCGTAAAGGTCATTCAATTTCGCTAATGTCGAGTGGGAGGAGAATTCTTTGGCGAATTGCGGTTTCATTTTCGTCTATGGAAAACCAAGCTCTTTCGCAATCGGGTCATTAAAATTAAAACTTGACCTCCGAATCATAGTATGAGGCTTCAGTATTTCATGTTAATCTATTTATTCCTTTTCTCTATTATATTTTCTGACATGACTTCACATTATACAATTTTCTCATTTGTGTGATATATTTGTATTGCATTTTATGTTTTCTCTTTCTTTCGACATTCTTTATATCTGTTGAAACATCTCTTTATTCATATCTTCAAATTTTTCATTATAAATGTCTTTGAGGTTATTTTTTCAATGGTTTATTTTTATCAATCTTGATGGAGTAGGTGATCTTTCTTTCTTTTCATTGAACATCCTTTTCTTTATTCTTCATTGTATTTTGTTTCTATCATGTCCATGTCTACTATCTAGGATCTGTTTATATATATAGCTTGTGCATAGAAGAGAAGTCACAAATTTTGCACCTTTCTGGGGACAGTTACTTGTGTAATGACAGATGTCTGCTAACGAATACGCATGTCATTCCTACAAGTAAACTTTGCATAAAGTTATTCAAACAGAAGTATATTAAGTGACAAATTAACATGAAATGAAAAGCAATGCACAAATGTCACATAATGTATGCCTAATCACGAAATTGAATGCTCGAATACATACCACCGTCTCTCCGGCGCGAATTTAAATGCTCTTTGCACGCTTTTCCAAACTGAATGCTCGTTTTGCACGTCTTCGTGACGAGAGTATGAAATCGCAAAATCCTAAATCAAATTGAATGATACAATTAGGTATTTGTCGATCTACATAGTCATTTAATTTAGCACTGTTTAAGCCGAATTGATGCGGAATATTGTCCGAAAATTACTATTCGACCAGTTTTCATCTTCCCAAGCTTAGCTAGTTCAAAGATGTACTGTTCTTGTGTTTTTTTAAATTTTACTAATTTATCAACAAGTATTTTCCTCTCTCGCTCATAAACACAAGCACCTCCACACGAACCCGGATACTTCTCTCTCTCTCTCTCTCTCTCTCTCTTATACATGTAGTACACACATATAGTTAAATGGATAGTTGACTGAGTCCTGTTTTCAGACCGCAAGGAAATGCCTTCAAAGTGCATGGTTATTGCTCTTATTCTTATCTATGACATTTCTTGTGCCCTTTTAGAACCTAAAATTGCTATGAAGGTAATTTTAGACCCCAAAATGTGTGAAATTTAGCCAATAGGATAATACCAATACAGCCCCGCAAAAAAAAACATGATGACCGTTAATTAATTATTTCATTAAAAATAACAATACATGGGCCGGCTGGTTGTGCGTAATATAAACAACACGAAAATGCCAACGAAAAAGCCAACATCGACATTGGCTGAAATACGACGTAAAAGGCGCTATTTTTTTTCAACGGCTTTTTTAAATTTTATAATATTTGTGGTGGTACACAAGTATTTTAAATCGATATATTTATATATATTTCAGACTTCTCTGAACCGATTTTGACTAAAAAAAGATGATTTTGTCATTGAAATTGTATATCCTTTCAAATTTGACACTCAGTTTTTTATTATCTCACAATTTTTTTTTTGATGCAACAGAAGTCAACTATCCCTTTGACCTCTGTCTCCCACAAGGCACTCTCGCATAACCTCTACCTCATCCAATCACACAACACATACACAGCCTTTTTTTCCTTTACTTCCCTCAATCAATCTTTCTCTATCACTAACTCACTGTAAATCACTTTAAATAAATATCTTTGTCTTATACACACACACGCGCGCACACAAAGGGTCATTTATGAGAAAGGGAAGAGGCTCTTAGTAAAAAGGGAATGTTGCATTTTGTGCAGGAAAAGGGACACCTATCACATTTTATTAGGGGCACTTATCAGGGCTGTAAATGGGGACATTTGTAATGACGAAAAGTAGTTCTTAATATGAATACAAACTGGCAGCTTTTATCACAAAGAAAAGGGGCACGTGTCAATTTGTAGGGGGCATTTATTAGAGGTAATTAGGTGTACTTATTAGAAGGGGAAGGGGCACTTTTAATATATATATATATATATATTTACTGCACTTTTACTGTTTTGAATGATTTGCTTGTTCTCCGTCTTTCCGCAATAGAGTTTAATTGTAAAAGATCCACCGACCAGAAAAGTTAAATTCAATCCTGTTCCTTTCAGCAAAGGAAATAGTATTTGCCATGCTCTTCTTGATTTTATTGGTAAAGTTGCGAATGCTTTTGAACTTAATGAATTTTTAATTGGTGTATTTCTAGACTTATACAAATATTTTGATTGTATTGATCATACTATTTTAATAAATAAATTATGTTTTAAGGTATAAGAGGATTTCCTCTCCTGTTAGTTCAAATTCAGATTCAAATTCAAAATGATTTAATATCTCATGCAAAACATAATATGTACAGTGAATAATTATATTACACAAATATGCACTGAAACGACAAATATAATAGAAAAAGCACGAGAAAAGAGGAACTAACTAGAAGCTTCTTTAAGTGTTAGTTCCTCAGATGCTGTTTTACAATATAATCAATAAATAGAAAAGAAATATGTTATTATAAATAAATTATAGACTTTTGGGGGGAAAATAAGAGAGAGCAAAAACTGGAGGAAAGTGGAGTGTGAATGTATCTCGTTATTTAAAGTTATTCATCAAACCAAAAGCAATAAGTTAGCTTGGGTAATTATTACTCTGATCACAGTATTATTTCAACTGGTGCGCCGCAATATTCTAATCTTAGCCCGCTCTCACTTATACTTAGT